AAAAAAAAAAAAAAAAAAAGAAAAAAAAAAAAAAAAAAAAAAAAAAAAAAAAAAAAAAGGCCAGTACACCTTTACAAGAAGCTCAGAGAGGACCTCAAAACAAAGAAGGACATTTATAGGAAGTGGAAAGAAAGATGCTTCGAGAATCTGTTTTCGCTTAGAGCTAGTTGGAATTTTCTATGTAGCAGCCTTGGCCAGAGACTATAAGGATCAAAGACATAACATTGAGGAAGAATGTCAACAACACCTGCAATCCCATGAGAAAAGGAGGTGGGGAGAGATGAGCAGTCCTTCGTCCTGATTGGTGTACGTCAGTGGAGAGTGAAGAAGGAGGGGGTTCCAGCATGAGAAGAAAATGGAGAGATGCTGACACAGAGAGAGCCTTTTTGAGCCTTTTGATTTTTGGATTTTACCTAGGATTATGGATTTTTAAATGGACTATGGAGTTCCCATTGCTATAGCTAGGATGTAGTTCATAGCAGAGAATAGAGAAAGGGGCTCAGCCTTACCCACCTTTCTAGCTAGTAGAGTTTTCTTATTTTATTTTTATAGCTGAGATTTGCTGTGTTTCTAACTACCTTAGTTAATGGAAATGTATATGGAATGCTATGCTTTGCAACAAACTGAATATCTCAAATTCCTTATTTTTCTAATAAAACAATGATAAAACTTATGTTTGGTCTTTTGAGCAGACAACCTGCTTAATTACTTAATTCCTTTTTAGGCCACAAATATGCTACTGAGTCCAATTAATTACCTGAATTTTGCTGGTCTTGGCAGACTCTGAGACTCATGGTTTTATCTTTGGTTTTCTCAGTTCATTGTTTAATGGGAACAGACCTGGGAAAAAGGGTGGCAACGGGACAGCCTGGCTGTAAGAAGGACTCATTACAGATGTTATAGGGGTACGCTGAACCCAAGACCGTCTCTGTTCCAGCCCCAGCATTCTCTTAGGAGAGCTGGTTGCTTACAGTCAGTGCTCCAACACTGGAGGCATTGAAGAGAAATTTAGCCATCCATCTGACAGACATCCTTTGATTTGTTCCCCTGCATTGAGCAAGGGATTGGCATCAATGGCCTTATAGGCCCCTTCCAACTCAATTATTTTATGATTTTTTTAATTTTATAATGTCTCTGTGGACTGTGGAATGATGGGCTCTGTTTCATCAGTTTTGATTTCAAAGAAATTTCAGACTTGATTTAATCTAGGTAAAGGTTCCCCTTGACATTTAGGCCAGTCATGTCCAACTCTAGGGCGCGGTGCTCATCCCCGTCTCCAAGCCGTAGAGCCTGCATTTGTCTGTAGACAGTTTCTGTGGTCACGTGGCCAGCACGACTAGACATGGAATGCCGTTACCTTACCACCATGATTTAATCTAGGACCCACTTGAGAATTGGGAGCTTTCCCTTAGAATCTCTCATCTTTGGAAGTTTTGCATTTCTCTTTAATGGTTGCTAACTGACACAACAGATTAGTGATATTTTGATAGGGCTTTAAAAAAACCTTTCAAATCATCACTTATCTGTTAGCAACCATTAAAAACAAATACAAAACTTGTCTCCTTCTCTGCCGTCAGAGGAGAGCGGGAAGTTTCCAATTAAGCAGCTTCTCCAAAGGGACAGCCAGATAGCTGTTTTTGTTCGATCCCATGATCATATATGGTAGAATCAAATCAAAATGGAACTATCCTACTTGTACCTGAAAAATAGGGAGCCAGAAAGGTGCAGTTAAGAATGCTCTATGTCTAGGCTGGTTTGCACTGGAACTTATTTCACTTGACTGCCAGCAAAAGGAGCAAATCAGACTTTCTCCAGAGTGGACTAATTAATAGGACAAAAGCCTATGTATTCAAGCACTCAGTCCTCTTATGATTTCTTGGCTGCAGACTTCATTTGGGTTGATGATTGAAGTAAGGTATATTAAGTCTTTAACAATTCTAGTTTCTTCATTATGAACTTAAAATTATGTAGTTCTTCCGTAGTCATGATTTTTGTGTTCCAGCATCCAACTATAGTCCTGCTTTTGCACTTTCAGAACAGCTTTCACTTTTAAAATTGCAAATTCTTCATCATTGGATTCCTCCTCAAAGGAATCTGTCATCCATTTATTTCTGTTTTATAGGTCTTCAGTGCATTCTTTTCACCTTTTCTGCTTTCCCTTTATTTTATCCTGGTGAGTGTGTTTCCCTGTTGGTCTTTCAGTGTTCCTAATCCAGTTAAGGGGTTTTTTTGTCTCTTCAGGATAGGTGTTGAAAAGTTGCATTCAGGATTCTCACCTTACTTTTGTCACCTTTTACTTTTTCTTCTCATCTGTTTTTATACATTTTAAGTGTTTCTTCTGTTACCATCTAGGCTTTTCTATTCTTTTTCTTGCTGGAATAGTCAGTTTACATTCTCCTTTAAAATAATATCTCTCATTTCAAAGCACAGTTCTTTTGGTTCGTGGTCAACTAAGTTCAGTAATGCGAATCTGTTTTTTATTTATGTCATGATCATGAGTATGTAAGTTAAAGCCTGTAATTTGAATGGTTTATGTAATCATGGAAAATGTAAAATGGAATTAAAATGGTTCTGTGTAAGGCTGATTTTGAATGCTGGGAATGTTTACTAAAGAACTGTGAGAAGATTTCTCTGACCGGCAGAGCAAGGATGAAGATAAAGAGACTAGACTCCACATTCTATCTTAATTGGGACCATGTTTAGAGAAGGGAAACAACACCTGTGTTCTCATGGGAACGAAAGGTGGGCAAAGACAGGATGACCCTAAATCACGATTAGTCAACACCTTGAAGAATGAAGAAGAAGGGTGTGGCTTAGTTAGTAGAAAAATGGAGATTTTGCCATGTGGAACATTCTCTAGTCTAGAGAGGGGTTTTGGATCCTTTTTTGCCTTTTCCTTAGTTGGAATAAGGGATTGCGTACGTAGAGAACGAGAGAAAGAAAGGGGGGGGGTCTTCATGCTTCTTAGGTAAAGGTACAGGTTCCCCTTGACAATTTTTGTCCAGTCGTGTCCGACTCTAGGGGGCGGCGCTCATCCCGCTCTTCAAGCCATAGAGCCAGCGTTTTGTCCGAACACAATCTTTCCGTGGTCACATGGCCAGTGTGATTTAGACACGGAACGCTGTTTACCTTCCCACTGAGGTGGTCCCTATTTATCTACTCGCATTTGCATGCTTTCGAACCGCTAGGTTGGCGGGAGCTGGGACAAGCGACGGGTGCTCATTCCGTTGCGTGGATTCGATCTTACGACTGCCGGATCTTCTGACCCTGCAGCACAGGCTTCTGCGGTTTAGCCCACAGCGCCACCACGTCTTACCTACCCTGAAAAAAAGCTTTTTAAAAGAAGTTTAGTTATTTTTTACTTAGCTGGAATTTGTTATTCATTTAACTGCAATATTCTATGGAAATGTAACCTATGCTTTGCTTATGCATCAAACTGAATATCTATAAACACTTTATATTTCAATAAAAATTATTCTTTAAAATCCTTAAGAATGGTCTTTTGAACAGCAAGTCTGCCAAACCTGCTTCCAGAGGCATTGCAAGGCCACGATATTGCTAATACCAGAGTCCTATCTTTCTGAGTTTTGATGAGTCTTCAGGGACTACAAAGCCGAGATGCCTGTACTTGTTAAGTATAATTAACTGCAGGAGTGAATCTTTTAGGCTAGACTTGCAGGAAAGAATCTGTGTCACCTAGCTGGTGTTACCAGGACTCAGCCCAGCTGAATAGGGGTACCCAGATACCTGGCTGCTCTCTAGCCAATGAACAGCGCTCCCTAGAGGGAGGTTGATTAGTGACAATGTGGATTTTAAATTCATCAGAAATGTTATTTAAATTATGTGTTAGCACTATGATTTTTAAAGTGTTTCTTCAGCTTTACTCTTTTTGATATTAATTCATGATCAGTACCACAATCTTATTGTTTTGTTTTGGCATAGAGAGGCAGCTTCTCCATCTTCTGCTTCCAATTGCATAGCCTATTTGATTTCTGTATTGGCCATTTGATCATGTCCATATGAAGATTTTCTGCTCAGTTGCTTATTGTATTTGCAATAAACAGATTGTTAGTTTTGTAGCATTCTATGAGTTATTCTGTTTTGTTTCTGACCTCTAGGCAAAATTCTCTAACAACATTTAATTCTGCTTTATTTCCTACTTTTGCATTTCAGTTACCTATGATTATGTTTTGTTTCAGTGTGTGATCAATTTGCACTGAAGAGAGCCCAGCGGATGTGAGGCTCATTTGCCTCATGGAACAACTTCTTGGAACTTCTAATGATATGGATTAGCCTCTGCTTGCTCCCTGTGAATAAGTAAACTGATTTGTTGGATCAGATCTTCAGCATGATTCACAGACTGTGAACAACTGCCCCATATTTGGAAAATGACTGGTTTGACAATGCAGCCTAGCACTAGCTTCCAGTCAACACATGATACTTTAAAGCTGAAGAAAGATTTGATATCACTTTCTCTGGTATGGGACTACCTGAGTACTAAACTGCATTGTGTGGGTCCATTTGAACATTAACTTGAATTGTGATTAGCAATTCTTTGTTTTCCCTCTGTTCCGTTAGAAGGTGGGTGGTGAATGCAGAGAAGCTGTTTTCATGTGGAACCCACTCTCTGTGGAATGTCCCACACACAGAAGGCTCCATGACACCAAACTTTGTATACACGTGGTCTAAGGCAAAGACCATTTATTTGCCGAGGCCTTCAAAATGTCATTTATTTTAAACAAGGATTAGCACATTTTTTAAACTGTTTTGTTTTTATGGCTTAATTGAACCAGTTCTTTCCTACATCCTCTTTCCCCTTTGTTGTATGATTGATTGTTATGGTTTTGCTGTTAACTGTACTGGGAGATTTAGAACTATAGGGTGCTAAACACATGCATAAATATAAGCAGGCAGACATAGTTTTTTTTCAATAAGTGCACAGGAACCCAGAAGACAATACTGTATATTGAGTTCCTCCATGCCACCACTCACTTACTTACCAACGTATAACTGGCTATAAAGTTCAAGTCGGGTGTGGCCTTCTGTGGGTGCCTTCTGGATTTCTTTTGGGAGCTGGTCCACTTGTAGGCTAGCCTCTTTAACATTTCGCTCAGCAGTAACCCAATGCCACTGATCATCATTGAGTGGACTGGGTGACCTCACAATGATCTCCACTGGGCCATTTCCAACGTCAAAGGAAAAGGTCACATCTGTTGGAGCTGATGAAAAATTATATGAAAATAATGTGTAATACCTTTAGTTTACATGGGCATGACATTTCAAAATGATTTACTAAAATGGCTATATGTTTCATTTTGCATTTACTTATTATTTACAAAATGGAAAATATTTTAGGATCATGGAATTTCATTGCTGGTGCTCATGATGTTCCATGCTACTTTCCATGATACAGACTAAAATAATAAAGAAGGCAGAGGTTACCTTATCACAGAAAGTTACAGGTGATAAACACTTACAGGACCAAACTAAGACATTTTTACATGCCAACATATTTACAATAGCAGAAATATTTCATCAAGTAGGTGGCATTTTTATATACAAGAAGAAATATTTACAGAGAGAAAATTTTGAGATTCCAAACTTCTGAGTAAAAAAGGTTTTTTTAAAGTCAGTTTCTCCCTCTTTTCAAACAGATACAATGTCTTTGCACCTTATGAGAGTTTTCAAAGCAGTTCACATTATAAACACACACACACACATTTAACAATTTTGCCTTGCTCTTTATTGACTGGGTTTGAATATCAGCTTACAGTTCAGTAATACAAAAAGAATTCTGGCCCTTAGGCATAATCTAAAAGACAGTACACTAAAGGAAAAAGGAATGAGGAGGAAGAAAGAGAAAACCAGATTTTGCTGCTCTTTCTTAAACATTCCTATAGGGAAGAGCTAAGATGGAAAGATACTGTAGAGGAATGAGAATGAAGAATGAATACTTTTTTACGGTCAAAGACCAGTAAAACCAAATCAATATAAAATAGATACATATAATTATAGTTTGGTAAAATCAGTCAGGGTAATAAAATTCCATTAAAACATGATAAAACAACCCCCTTCTTTCCAGTTAATAACATCATGTATCCTTAATATAAGAAAACCTCAGACAGAGTTATATTAAAAACATACAGTATCCATCTAAAATCACCTACCCAAACATTTGATTACGAATAACCATTGCTGCCGCACAGAATTTGGCCACTTGTCTCATAATATAAGGGGTATTGTCAGAGAGTAGCAGCTGGACATAATCCTCCTCTGATCTCCCGGGAGATTTATAGATATTAGGTGATAAAAGTGCTATATGAAGATCCCGATAACAAGTACAGAAAAGGAGAACATGACCAACTGATTCAACTTTATCACTATTACAAGGGCAGAGACAGTCTGATGTTGGCAAGCCTCGAAATCTTCCCTCCAAAAGCTTAGAAGGAAGTACATTGAGCCTAGCTAGCGGTAAAGCCCTTATGGCTTTAGATGACATAGTGCTGGCTAAATACGAGGAGGTGATAAAAGCAGATTTCTTTAGAAAATTATATTTCCCTAACTGGCCAACATGGTCCTGTAGTTCAATGTCCCATACCCTTAACTTCACTGCTTTGATGGCATCCTTGAGACCCATTGCTATAAGTATACTGGGGGAAAAGCCAATTTTCGATAACTCATCAGTTATATGCTTCTTCCACTCCGACTGAAAGGAATCTAGTAAGATCAGTGGGGCCAAGCCTTCTAATGCAAAAATCAGTTTAAGCCAGTATTTCACCATAAGGACTTTAGCCCTTGCTTTAATGGATATTAACCCAACCTCTAAGCGAAGAGCCACATTGGAAGTACAAGGTGGAACTCCAAGAATGGCTCTCACGAATTTGGTCTGAACAATCTCCAGAGGTTGTAGATTAGCATAAGCGAATAGTTGTGAGCCATAAAGCATTTGTGAAATAATCCTGGCCTTAAAAACTTGTATTGCCGATGGTACATGTTTACCCCTATCAGTATGGAAAAATCTTCTTAGTGCTCCAGTATTTTTCTAGGCACTCATTGCTGCGTGGTTTACATGAGTAAGCCAGGATCCTGAAGAGTGAAAAACTATGCCAAGGTATTCATAGCATGCTACTTCCTCTACAGGGTGTCCATTTAGAAACCACTTATGCTTTATTCTCCTTCTACTCACAACCATAATCTTGGTTTTAGCATAATTAATTATTAGTTGTTCTCTATTACAGTAGTAGGAGAAGGATCTCAGGAGCCTTCTAAATCCTACGCATGTTGTTGACAGTAAAACAGCATCATCAGCATAGAGTAAGATTGCAATTGGGCGAGAGGCAAGTTTAGGTTGATGAAAATTGGGGTTACTTAAATTCCCAACTAAGCCATTGATATAGAAGTTGAACAAGGTGGGGGCTAGTATGCATTCTTGTCTAACTCCATTAAGTACAGGGACTTGGTTGGATAAGATCCCCGCGGTGTTACAAAGAACCTGCAAATGCGTATTTTCATGAAGTTGCTGCATCAATAGGAGAAGTCATTTATCGATACTTGTGGACTCAAATTTTGACCACAGACGTTCCCTGTTTCTTAAATATTCTCATAGGGAAGAGCTAAGATGGAAAGATACTGTAGAGGAATAAGGAAAGAGAGGAAATCAAATGCTGTTTCTCTCTTGGTATAGCAGATTGCATAACTGCTTTCCATTCTTCCAAGACAGATCCCTCCTCTAATCTCAACTCTGCTGTTAGATACCCAAAGGGGGAGGCAAGGAGTGTTTGTCCTGCTAGTCCTAAATGTATTTTTTGTTTTGCTTTAATGTTTTATCTTTATTTTGATTTTATATTATTATATTCATTGTTTGGAATTGTGTATGTTTTATATGTTTAATATGTAAACTGCCCAGAGTGGTCTAGTAGCCAGATGGGGTGTTTAGAAGACAGACAGACAAATAAACAAGCAAGCAAACAAATGCAGATAGACAAACATGTTGTGCTGTATGTCTGTACAAGAATTATGTTAACACACCATTGTGTAGTTCTCTTTGCCAGGAAAGGTTCCCGTAGACAATGTTTTATTTAACAACTGAGGGAGAGAGGAGCATGAATACAGTATTCAAACTTTATGAATTCAAACCAATATTCCACTCCACTTGGTGAATGTAGGAGATTGTTTTGATATCCACAATTCAAAACACCAGGAAATGGCCTGATATTGCCTTGCAGTGTTGCACCTGCTTTGCCAGCAGAAAAAAGGATGCCAAGCTTTAGCCTCAGTGTTGACGACACCTATGCCAGCAAGTCACGATGGTCTACAAGATCTTTGTTTGTGCTACCATTTCTATCATCTGGGGCACAAAACAATTCAAATGCTTAGAATGAATCTGTCTTTCAGATCAACTGTGTTCACCCAAGTATATCTATTCATAGCTGGAAGGTACTAGATTGTTAATTCTTAAGAAATTGATATGAATTGATATGAAATATGAGTGCTTTTGCCCCATTCAATTTAGTGCACAATACCCTCAGTCATCTGTATTGAGAAGGAGGTTTTGGCCAGTTTCCTTTCCTGTGCTATTCAGGGCTTATGTTCTTTTATGCTCAAGAGTGGAGCACAACAAATGCAGCTTTAGAGACAAGGCTAAAGGAAAATTATGGATACTGGTTGCAAAGTAAAGATAGTTTTTAATCACTCTTAGTTATATGCAATGTGGATCTTTCTTTGCAATATGATGCTTATTGGCAGTTTATGAGAAGGAAGTGAAATGGCCTGAATTAGGGCATCTATTGCCTATGTCTTTTGGACCCTTTGGAGCAATTCTTTTATTACAAACCTCCTTTCCAAAATTGTATTGATTATTTCTTAGAGTCTTTCCTCTTTCCTTTCTCTAATACAACTTCAATATATCTACCGCAAATAGCATAAACATATTTAAACTTATTTCTCCTCGTTTCATCTTAAGTTCAGTAGTCAATTTCTTATTTAATGCAATGTCCCATACTTGGTTATACCAGTCTTCTAATTTAATATCATGTTTGTCTTTCCAGTGTCTAGCTATTAATATTCTAGCACTTGTCATAAAATTAGAAATAAATTCCTTTAAATAATAATCAAGTTCTATCTTATCAAAAATCGACAACAAAACGATTTTAGAGTTAAATTCAATATCTTTTCCAAATATATCACATATTTCCTTAAAAAGCAATTTCCAAAATTTCTGAATCAATTTATACTCCCATCACATATGATAATATGTGTCAACTTCTTCATCACATTTCCAACAGGCCTCAGAATAGTCTGAATTTATTATGTGCAATTTCACCAAAGTAATGTACCACCTTAAACTAATTTTTAAAGAACTATCCTTTATTCTTATCAACATTAATCTTAAAACTCTCATATTTCACATTTTTGTCCAATCCTCTGTTCTTATTTCTGTCTTTAAATCATGCTCCCAAATTGATTTCAATCCTTCTATTTCAGTTTCATTTCCCCCCTGATCCAAAATTAGGTTATAAATTCTACTTACTACTCCCTTCTCAAAGCATCTTTCTGCATATCTTCATTTGATGATAGAAATTGTTCATACTTAGTACATTCTCTACATTTACTATTAGTCCTCAACTATTCATTAGTCCATCTATCTAATTGGATATAATTATACCATGATAATTTATTAGTTTGAAGTTTAACTATAATCTGATCCTTCAATCTCATTTTAATCATTCAATCCTTCAATCTGGCAACTTTTTTATCCTTAAACAAATCAACAAAGCTCTTCAAGTTTGCTGGAAATTTTTCTGTTTTGGTCACTAATTTTAGTGGTGAAGTAAAGGGACAAAACTTCTTTTTATATCTGTTCCAGACATTTAACATGTTTCTTAAAAGGGGGTTGTTCAGCTGATAAAACAAATAAAACAAATATTTTACAAAAACAAAAATACTACATTAAACAAATATTTTTCAATATTCCCATTTATTTCTGAGGATTCTATAGCCCACCAAATTAATCTTCCTTTGTTATATATAATATCTCCAATCAATCATAGTTGATTTGCTATGTAATAATTTTTTATATTAGGAATACCTAAGCCTCCATTTTTTTGAGTCTTGTACTAATGTATTTTATTTATTCTTGATTTTTTACCTTGATTACAGAATCACTTAATTAGTCCCTGCCAATACTTAAAATCCTCTTCTAATTGTATTGGGAACATCT